CCAAGATTCAAGGCCCGTTTTTCCTACCTGTGACAAGAGGGTTCTGTCTGAGGTAACTTGGAAGGACGAGCCCAAAGAAGATGGAAAATCCAAGCACAAAGAGGTTCCGGGAAGAGTTTAAATCAATAAACTGCAGGTTAGAGAGTCCAACGGCTGTGATCATTCCTGGAAAGAAAACATCAGCTAGCAAGTTCCAGTCACTCACACGGAGGAGCTTACACTACAGCATGGGGGACAGATGACTCACAGCTGCTGAAGACAGACTCCCTACAATGTCCTTCCTCTGTCCCATCAGAAACAGGTCAGAAGCCCAGGCAAGGGCAGGACGGGGACGTGACTAGCTGGCCGCTCGGCTTGTGCAGAGGCGTAAGCACCACACTGTTCTAAGGCTGTAAGGCTTTCTTTAGACCACGCAGGAAACTAAGGACACGGGTTCCCCCTTGACACTTCTATGCAAACACTGCTATTAAATTGGGAAACCCACCCAAAGAGCTGGTCCCTGATCACAACTCCTAAATGGCACAGAGACCAGAGACCCACTGTAAAGACGGTCTGTTTTAAACAGTCCATTCAGTTAAATCACCAATTAAAGAGATTATGTCATCCTATTTTTCCTAGACTAAATATTCTACCTTTGGTTGTACCTTCAACATAAATTCAACTCAAAGAGTGATACAGATTTTTAAGTTTTAAATGTCTATCCTTTTATATTATAAAATAGAAATGTATTGCCACCTCCACTCTTACTGAAGAGATTTAGCAAAAAACCATAATCTCTATGAAAAATTAGCAAAGAAGAAGAAAAGGAGCCTCAGAGGGGCAGCCCACCACCAAGGAAATGGCCTTTTACCAAAGAGAGTGCAGAAGAGGGCGCCAAGCACAGGGTCCGGAAGGGAGGCGAAGAGGGCGCTGAACTTGCCGATCATGCCCAAGGCCAGCATGAGGGCGGCCCCGTACTGTATCACCCGGCGGCTGCCGACCTGCAGGACAGAGGCAGAGGCAGGGGTTCAGTTCAACATGAATTCCCCAGCCCCTTGGGGCAAATGTAACAAAACTCTTATTCAAAATCTAGATCATTCTAAAAATATTTAGTTAAGAGGGATCAGTCTCATTTCATGAGGATTGATCTCAATGTACAATTACTATAAATTACTATAAAGCACCCAGAGTAAAAAGATTGAAAATATTTAGTTAAGAGGGATCAGTCTCATTTCATGAAGATTGATCTCAATGTACAATTACTATAAAGCACCCAGAGTAAAAAGATTCCCACTACCTTTCCTTGTTCCCATTGGGCTCCTTCTCCCCACATGACTCTGGGGAGGGGGCGGGGCAGGACTTAGTTTTGCTTCTCTGAGCCCTGGATGCCGTCCCGTGGTGTGGACCTGCTCCTAGGAGTGCTCAGATCCTGCATTTCGAATGCCCACAGTCACTGGCAGGGACTAACTTTTAGTGTATCAAATGCAAAACGTAAAAGCTAACTTTTGCTTCTCCATGTCCTTTGGATTTCTAGCATCACCCTTCACTCAGCAAGTTAACCTACTCAAAGCACTGCAGCCTCAACAACCCCATCTTCCCTGAACCCTGAATCAGACAAAACCCCAAATATTTCTGGAACCTCCTCATGGTGTCTTTCCCATTAGAGTGACACAGCCTAGAGCAGCGGTTGCCAACCTTTCAGACCTAAGGGACCACCAGTGGTCCACGGACCACCGGTTGGCAACCATTGCTCCAAAGGTTTCCTTAAACCAGCGGTCGCCAACCTTTAGGACCTCATGGACTACCAGTGGTCAATGGACCACTGGTTGGTGACTGCTGGCCTAGAGGACAAGGCACAGAATTCTCGGGGCCCACTGCCTGGCTGGCATCTCCACTCCACCTCCATCCACGTGACCTGGGCAAGCTACTCAACCTCGTTGGGTGTCAGGATGCTCATCTCTATAACTAAACCTGTGGTTTTGCTTTAAGGGTTAAATGAGATGATGTATAAAATAGTTTGAACAGCACCTGGCAGCATCAGGCTATTTGATAGCCTCCCACTGGGCCTGCTGCCTCTGGCTTTCCTCCGTCTCTCTGTCCAGTGGTAAAGGGACCTTTCAAACACACTGGGAAGTCAGTCCTCTGCACAAGTCCTCTGGTGCTCATGAATTAAAACAAGTCTCAGGCCCTTGCACACCGGCAAGCTCCCTAACTCCTCCCCCTCCCCCAGGCCCCGCCCCATCATGCTGGGGGCTTACTGCCTGCCCCTCGGTGTACCAGGCCAGCCCTGGCCTGTCTGCCTGGAACACCCTTTCCCCCAGCCCCCTTCTGGCTGGTTCCCAGACACATCCTTCAAAACACTACCCAAATGTGACCTCCTCCGCAAAGCCTTCCTCCATTCCAAGGCTCCCCCCACCTCCTCCCCCCATGCACCCTCGGCTTTTGCAGCACCACTTATCATTTCACTGTGGTCTCATCTTTATCCGTTACATCTGATCTCGGCCTTCTAGAAGCTACCATCTAGCCCACTGCACCCAGGCAGCGGAGGTGGAGATGGCACTGGGTTCAAGAACCCTGTGTTTTGGCTTCTACTTTGTGCTGCCTCTCCCAGGAAGACACACTGATACATAGGAGGTTCCAGAATGTTTGGGGGGATGTTCACTGGCTTGAAGTATGACTTACAGTGAGAAAATGGCTACTTACACTTGGGTTAATTATGGTGAAATGAAACTTAAGATCCAGTCCCTCGGTTGTACTCATCACATTTCAAGTGCTCCCCAGGCTCCTGTGGCTGGTGGCCCACATGTGACCGCACAGATGCTGAACTCTGCCCCCACCCCCGCACCAGGTGCAGAACACCACCCCCACCGCACAGGTGCAGAACACTGCCCCCACTGCACAGTGTTCTGCTGGGTGATGCTGGGCCAGAGCGTCCAACAGCCTCTCTAGGGACCCAAGGATCAGCTGATTAAGAGTCAGTGGACTCTCATGGTGCAGATTGCTGTCTCGACTGTTTCAATCTCCGGCTCCTCCCACACAGCACCAAATGCAGGGAAGCAGTGAAAAGGGTCAGGAAACTGGCAAATCCAGTAAAAATGACCTGTGCTTGGCCGTATTACATGATAAGGAACACTTTCATTTATAAATGGCTCATTTTTCAGCAAACATTTTAAGGACCTACTATGTGACTACCACTTGTTAGACTGGGGGGTGGAGGGCAGATACAAAGATGAGTAAGTCACAAGCTTATGATGAAAGTCTAGTACTGCTGCAGTTTCTCTGTGTGGGAACCCAGTGGGGAAAAACTGAAGAATCGGAAAGGGATGCCCAGAGATGGTCTTGCGGGATGAATTCATTGGAGGAAGACCAACCAGGTAAAAGAAACAACCTGTGCAAAGACCACCTCCCAGCAGGGTCAGGCAGCCCTGCAGGTGTGCAAGGAGAGGGACAGGCCGGCCTCTGGGATGCCTGAAACAATAAATCCTACATGAAAACCATGTATGGAAGGATGATCCACCTTAGATGCGGACAAAAAAAAACAAACCACAACCACAACAAAAACAAAGCAGCAATGGAGCCATTCTTGTGTTTAACGAATATGAACTGAATCCTATTATATACTGATGCTCCAAACACAGCTCTAAAACCCCTGCTTCGCCCTGGCCAGCACTGGCTCAGTTGGCTGAGCTCTGTACTGTGCACAGAAAGGCTGCCAGTTGCCGGTTGATTCCTGGTCAGGGCATATGCCTGGGTTGTGGGCTCGATCCCAGGTAGGGGGTGTACAGAAGGAAGCCAATAGATGTTAAGCTCTCACATCAATGTTTCTCTTACTCTCTCCCTCTCCCTTCCTCTCTCGCTCTAAAATTCCATTTAAAAATCGTAAAACAAAACAAAATTCCTGCCTCCCATTGCTGACAAAGAGCCTTTCGTCTACTTTCCTGCTGCCCACCTCCCTCCTGACCTCCTTCCTGAACTTCGGCTCTGCCTGTAGGGCCATCATTTCCGACTTCCCAAAGGCTTTGCACAGTGTGGAATGCAGCATAGGAGTCATGGTGCTCACTGTTTCTAGAAATAAACTTTGAGCTACATATTAAGGAATAGGATGAAGAAATAATACACAGTGACTATAGTCGAGCTGCCAAATTACTAAAATCAAGCTGGTTGAGGCATGAGGAAATGAGCTTTTTCTTGTTCTCATTAGCCTGGGAGCTTAAACTTTTGAACTTTCCAGTCCTGTGTCAATCCCCGGATATACATACACCAGACCTCCAGGTAACCCTCTGATGACCCCCTGAAGGACTCATGTATCCAGACCACCTGACATCCATTATCCCAACCACACCTCCTGGCACCTATCTTTCTGACTTCCTGACATCTGATAACCATTCTGGACCAATCCTAGGGCTAAGAATGCAGGACTGATAATTGTCAAGAGTACCGTTTTTATTGTAAGAACTCTTAAATGTTCCTTCTTCTTCATAATACTTCTAGGTTTTTGTTTAGCTGTATTCCCAATCTGCAAACTCTAAGACCCTTGAATAAATATAATTTATTTCTAGCCAAAGCCTTCAGCTCGTTTTGCGTTCACTCGACAATATCATAGGAAGACGATATCAATAGCTTACTGTATGTACACCCACCACATGGTGGACTCTGCTAAGTGCTTTACATCAAGTTATTAATTCCAGAGCCTTGCATACTATCTTGGAAACTCAGAGAGATGACCTCACATTGGGAAAGTGATGGAGCCAGGACCGAAATCCAAAGTAGCCACCACCCCCATGCCTGCCCCTCTCTGTGGACACACATTGGCACACACACAGTGGAGAAGTCCTGCCTGTGAACCTGACCCCTTATAACTTCAGAACACAATGGGGTAAGCAGCCTCAACTCCTGATCAAGCAGGTTAGAATGTCCATGGCCATGGAAATCCATGACTGGATAAAGAGTAGCTACTATTAGAGTTGCCAGGAAACAGAGGCAGACTCTCTGCAAGAGCCACAGGTCACCCTCTTCCTATATGCCCTGGGATTCTGATGCAGGGGTCCAGGCCAGAGCCATTCGACAGAACTTTACACACTGATGGGAATATTCTGTATCTGTGTTGTCCTATAGCAGCCACTGGCCACAAGTGACCACTGAGCCCCTGAAAGGTGGCTAGCGTGGCCAAGGAACTAAATCTTTTGTTTTAACTAATTTACACTTAAATGGCCACATGTGGCTACTGACTACCATACTGGACAGTTGCTGGAAACTACTCATTGTCTACACTATCAGGAAAGTGCAAACAAGGAACCTAGAAAGCTAATGGAACTTTTGGCAAGGGCTAAACTATGCTCCAATTGTTCTGTCTAGACAATGGTGGCTCAAGCAATTTCCTGACCTAATAGTCTCAAAGTAAATCTTTACTAATATTTACTGACCTTTAAGATAGTCTGTCTGTGCCCTAACCAGTTTGGCTCAGTGGATAGAGCATCGGCCTGCAGACTGAAAGGTCCCAGGTTCAATTCCGGCCAAGGGCATGTACCTTGGTTGCGGGCACATCCCCAGTAGGGGGTGTGCAGGAGGCAGCTGATCGGGTTCCCTCTCATCGATGTTTCTAACTCTCTATCCCTCTTCCTTCCTCCCTGTAAAAAATCAATAAAATATATATTAAAAAAAAAAAAAAGATAGTCTGTCTGCTACCAGAATTGCTGCCTAAGGGCAATATGTGTATCCAAAATTGGATTCAAAGTTGGCAGGGTGTGGGCACCAGTGAAGCCTTCCCTCTTGAGAAAGACTCTCCGCCTGGCCCCCTGTAATTTCCAAATTCATATTTCTTGTCTAGTCTCGTCATTTGTGCGCGGCCCTTCTCCGGGTCCTGAACCCAAGCCACGCAGGACGTGGCTGTCACATCCTTCGCAGACAGTGCAGACTAGAATCGTCTGATGTCAGACCTCAGTTCTACTCAGCAAAGGACTTGCCCTTCAGCTGGATAAGAGGCAGACCACAGCCCAGAACCCGCGCCTCTTTCTTCTAGACGGGACCTCCCATCAGCTACATGGCTCAGGCCACAGAGAAAGAAGGCTGCTGCCAGTCCCACTTCCCCACCAAGGCAGCTGTGCAGATGACTGGATTGTACCATCTACACAAGGCGATGAAAACCGATTCCAGGGCTGACGCTGCCCTTGAATGGATGCAGCCTTTACCTGAGGTGAGTGACCCAAAGGGATTCAGAAGGAAAATCAATTTAACTCATTGAAAATCAGCGCTGGCAGGTTGTCTTTCAGAATAAGCTGGCACCATTCAAACTGTAATAAAGAGAATTCTTCCCCCGACCACCTCAGTCCTATCTTAGGAGGAACCTCCGAGAGCAGCACCACTTATTCCTACAGTGACCCTGTTCCTGGTGTGTCCCGAAGGGGCACAGAAAGGGAGCTGGCTCAGTAAACTGTCTTCCCCTAAGAGTCCCTTCGTCTACAATTTTATGTTGATGTTATTTCAGATTAGTTCCATGTGTACAGGTTCATGCAGCAAACCGGCTAAAGATCGAGTGAGCCTGGCCGGCGTGGCTCAGTGGTTGAGCATCGACCTACAAACCAGGAGGTCACAGTCTGATTCCCGGTCAGGGCACATGCCCAAGTTCTGAGCTTGATCCCCGGTGTGGGGCATGCAGGAGGCAGCCAATCAATGATTCTCTCATCATTGATGTTTCTCTCTCTCTCTCCCTTCATCTCTGAAATCAATAAAAATACTTTAAAAATAAATAAAAGTGAGTGACTTGTGCCCCATTTGGTGTCCATGTGAGACACCCTGTGCAGCGCTGGTTCTCACCACTGGCAGCAACAGACCCAGTGGTGGCGCTAGCGGCTAGAGGAAGTGCCCATCAGGCAGCCCTCACATGCCCTGCATCAGGAGCAACGGGCAGCAGGTGGCGCCATCTGCACGCGTGAGGCGGAGCTCTGTGATGGCCCCCCAACTTACAGGAAAATCAGTGGTGTGTATTGGGCATGCCCTGCACCCTCTTACCTGAATTTACAGTCAAGATCCATCAAACTCAATATTTGGTTTCTTTTTATCTGGCTACAGAATCTCAAAGAAGACAGTTTAATAAGCCAGCATTCCAAAAATCCATCAACAACAGAAGGAGATGGGCGTAGGGGAGACGATCTCAGAATTGGAGGCCTTCCCTGTGGAACTCATGTGGTCAGACCAATCAATGAAATGGATCAACGCTTAGTGACCCAACCATTTAATTAGTAAAATGTTTGTACCTTAGTAATTCCCAAAACTCCAATGTTGGGACTGGATGAAGTAGAGCCATTCCCAGTACCAAATATGCCATCGAGAACACAGGAGAGACCCTCCACGAAAATCCCCCTAAAATGTAAAGGAATGGGGCAAAAAGAAACATTCATTCAATGGGGGAACACTCTGCGATAGGCTCTAAGTGGCCATGACCCAAAGGTCTGGGCCACAGATCCGCAGCCTCTGCACGCCTGGGAGGGGTAACAAGGCAGCCTCAAGCCCCATGCCAGACCTCCACGCTCATTCAGCTTTGAAAGCACCTCTGTGAACCACCCATTAGACACAGGCGTTTAGACAGCATTCCAAATTAAAAGCTTTTAGCCAGAAAACAGAGCCATTTGTTGGGATCTAAGTCAAATATAGGCCGTCCATAGATTTGATTCCTCTGCTATTAATATATAGTTTCACCAGGAAGGACATGCTTTGTAATTCTGTAAACATTAACACTTTTTAAAAGAATCAACATACAAGTATTCTAATCATATGCAACAGCTCAACTGGGGAAAGACATAAATCCAGGACTGACACCCCTTACAGAACCAACATAAGAAATGCTGCCCTAGCTGGTTTGGCTCAGTGGATAGAGCGTGAGCCTGTGAACTGAAAGGTCCCAGGTTCGATTCGGGTCAAGGCCACATGCCCAGGTTGTGGGCTCCTTCCCCAGCAGGGGGCGTGCAGTTGGCAGCCAATCAATGATTCTCTCTCATCATGATGTTTCTATCTCTCTCCCCCTTCCTCTCTGAAATCAATAAAAAAAAGTTTTTTTAAATTGTAAATGTGAAGAGATGACACAGCATCCACCCTTTAGAACAGTTGAGGAAAACAGGAATAAAGGGGACATACACCCATGACCCCAAGCCAAGCAAGTAACAGTGGTGGTGTCTGGCCTGTGTTTAGATGAATTTAAGGTCTAGAGTGACCTCAGAGAATGTCTTATGCAATTGTCACTGTGAAGAAGAAAGGGTGAGAATTCTGCTCATTGTTACAAATGAGGAAACGAGGGCAGAATGAGGGCAAAATTAGGGCAGTGACTTGTCCGAAGACAAATAGCCAAGGAAGAGCCCTGTTCTTGCCTGCCTCCATACTGAAACTCTTGGTTTCTTCTCCAAGATTATCCAAACCAAAGCTAACAAAGTGAGATGGTGGGCCCAGTGAATTACTTGTGTCCTCAGGAACGTACCTGTTTATTGCATGGATGGGCGGCGGCGGGGCACAGGACAGCCTTGCGCAGGCGTAGTAGTCCCCAATAGACTCGATAATACTGGAGACAACAGCGCTGAGCATGCCAATGACACCAGCCGCAGAGATGGTGGGCAGGCCCCACTGAACTGCGGAAAGACGACAAACGTGAAATCCTCACTTCCTTGGAGGGGCAGGCAAACGTTACCGCACACCAAGTCATTCAGAACGCCCAAGGACTCCACAAGGTCCACTCAGAATCTGAAGCTCACGGTGGAAACTTGATGTTTACTAGTAAACCTACATCACCAATGGCTGGATGCCTGGAAGGGCTCCTGAGTCGGATGAAGATGCCCATCACCAGGCTCGGCCTGCTCTATGTCCTTACTTAAAAGACACTGTTTGGCAGAAAGAGGTGGGTGCTTCTCTTCCTGCTTCAAAGCCAGTGTCTAAGTTACAATTTAAACAGTCTGCTGTTTGGGATAGAAGTTTGTATTTTTGAGAAATTTAACCCTGCTGTGCAAAAGGTCTTTAACCCTGCTGTGCAAAGTATGGTACAAACCAATGGTGCCCTTGCTCTGGGACTGGCATCAAGTGAAAAAGCAGTGAAAAGTCACCAGTTAAATTTAGATCCCAACAACAGAGCATGGGACAAGGTGCAGATAACCCTTCCCTAGTGTTCGAGCAGCACTTTCATATTTTTTATTTGTAAACCATGTTATGGAAAATTAAATGATTTATTTAAGAAAGCAAAGAGAAGTCCCCAGGTAGCTTCAATTTGAGGATCTGGATTTGGTTCCTTCTTCATTAGATGTACTTGGAAAGGAAAAAAAATCTCTTTGGACTTTCCAAGCCATAGATCTTAATAAAAATACCACGAGGAGCTTTCACTGTGAAGGTGAACAGACTTCTTGGTAAAGTACCTAGACCTTCTTCCCTGGAACCATTAGTTATAATATAGTCACTAAGAAAGAAAAAAAAACACAGAGGGAAGAGGAAGATGGATAAGATAAAATGGTCTCCTGTGCAGGGGTCATTAAGGTCGTTTGATGAATGATCCAAGAACAGTGTAATGGTTAGACATCAAAGGGAGGCAACCCAAACTGGGTCACAGCGAGAGGAAGTTGGGAAGGCAGGAAGAGGGCAATCCCTGTCTGGAGAGGGTCTAGAGAGCAACAGCTGAGTGGAGAGGGCATTCAGAAGGGCAGCGCCCACCCATCAGCAGGTGGGCAGGACCAGGGGGGCAGGCATGTTTAGGAGGGCTCCATGCGCCACCTAGAGGCGACTGGCCTCTGTCTCAGAGGTAATGGGGAGCAACTTCAAGTTTGGGAAGAAAAAGGTGACACATGAAGTCAGATGTGCACAATATGCCTGGGGTGTGCATGAGGACAGAACTAACTGCTCCCACCTGGGCTACTTCACTCCATGGGAGCAGACAGAGGACTCAGAGGCCCGTGGTCAGAGGGTCAAGGTACACGTCCACGGGCAACGGCCCAGCGTGCTCTATGCCTACCCAAGTGGGCTTGGTCAACAGCTCATCTCCGGTGGGTTTGGAACAGATTTTTCTCATGCAGATAATTTCTTTATCAAGCAACGTTTTGTATTTTTAATATATTTTCTATGGTTACCTTGTTGCTGATGTCATGTTGTGGTTTCAGTTTAGTGTCTTGATTTAGGGGAGAAATTTTTATTTCATTTTGTTACTTACTATTTTTTCAGAAATTGCCTTTTACTCTGTTTTCTATTTTTCCCCCCCTTGTGCCTGAAGTCCTTAATTTTGATTTATAAGATCCTAATTCCATCCACTTCAACATTTTAAATTTGTAATCTTTTACATGTTGGACCTTTTTTCTTCAGATTATATATACTTAAAACCTTGTTGGCTTCCAGCCTTCTATATTTACTGTTGTTTCATCTCTCCTTTATTTACAGCAGGGTTTCTCAACCACAGCACTGGTGACATTTTGGGCCCCAAATCTGTATTTTAACAGCCAGTCCAGGAAATTCTTAGCATGCTAGAGACAGAACATAAAGACAGTGACATATTTGAAAGCTGGACTCCAAATTAAGCCAAATCCACCTGGCTTTCTGGGGTAGCTTTTCCCTGGGCAATACAGCAGCTCACGCAGTTGGGGGTGACAGGACGGGAGCCAGACAGCTGTCTCTCAGCTGCTTCTCCGAGGAGCCCACCTGCGTCTGTGTTTGTGCTCCTCTCAGGAGCCACCTGCACAGGTGGAGGCCCACCCAGCATGTGTCGTGGGGCCTCCTCCTACTTGCCCTCCCAGGCCACCTCCTGGCTGCCTCAACAACTGGCTTTTCATCTCTTTATCTCAGATTAGATGTATACTTGAGCCCCGATGCACAAAATTTGTGCAAGGGGCTCGGCCCTGCCACCGGGCTTCGTCCAGAAGGACGTTTGATCTAATTAGCATATTATGCTTTTATTATTATAGATTTATGAACTATGTGTTTTTTTAAAGGAGAGGAGTACATTATCTACATACATATATACTTGACCATATGATCTGATGAAAGTGTTATTTTAGAAAGGCTACATTTTTTTTTAAGTGTTTGTAAATGTGTCAAGAACAGAAAGGACAACTGCCAATGTTGCCATCATTTAACAGGCGTACAACAGCTGTCTCTGACCCAGTCCTAACATTCTTGGCCTTTCCTGCTTTCTCTCCTTGTCATTATAAACGTGAAAATGTGTCTGCTGTGAGCAGGGGAATAAACAAGCTCAGGCTTTTCTAACTAAGCCCCAAATGTCAGAACGGAGTCTACGCCACGGAACAACTCAGCGTTTATAACGACTGGGGAGGGGTCTTCCCAGCACCAGTGAATCCAAATGATACCTCAGCTGGGGACTGCCTCCCCACCACCTTGCCAAGAGTTATCCAACACTTAAATCTTAACTTATGATCCATCTTCCATGCACTTGTGAATATCAGTTTACCTCTGACAGCTGGACCAAATTTTAAAAGATTAGAGCTCCCCATTATAAGATTATACAAATCCCATCATGCTTGAGCAGTTTGCTTGCTAATCTTCAGGACCCTCCCACTCCAGTCTGCTCACTTCAGAGGCTTGGGCCTGGGTACATGGCTCTGTACTTGTGTTTCTATGAGCTGCCCTTAAATCCAGGCCACCAGACCTCAAACCTGGCAAGAGGCCTCTTGTCTAGGATTTCACCCTAGTGGAACCCAAAGAATCAACTAGTTAACCTGAGAAGGGAGCTGGTTAGTCTCTCTGTGTTCATGAAGGGACAGGATCTCCCTTCTTTGGGGGTTGAATCCTCTAATGACCAGAATGGTAAGACCTATAGGGACGAGAAGGCTTCTCCTGCTGCAGAGCCTTCTGCTAACTTCCAAGGCCTCTCAGTTGCCCTCATGAGCTCCTGACCCCCCTGCCACGAGAATACTTACAGGGGTACGGAACCTTAAACCACGGGGCCACCAGAAGCACGCCCTGCCGGGCGTCTGTTCGAGCGTAGAAGCCATACTTGGTGCTGTCGGGAGGGAAGACATCTGTCACTGTGAAAATGAAGCAGAGCAGCCAGGACACAAGGATGGCCAGGATGATCTGAAGGGGTCAAAACAAAGGCTCTGTTAGCCACAGAGGGGGCGGCTGCTGCCAAAACGTATGCCTTCCTACAGTCTGAGTGCCACAGCCCAGAACCCACCATTGCCACTATTTCACTCAAAACACCCATAACAGATCTGCTGAAAGCCTATTGCTTGAATGGGATCAGATTTAGAGAGAGGAGTTGTCTGCAGGTAAAGTTACTTTCACCCTAAGTCTGGCTAATAAAATAAAGATAACGGACAATGTCCCTCAGAGGCAGCGTGGAACCAGACCGCCCTCAGTCCCAGGACAGCCAATGTCCCCCTAAAGGATTTCAGAATCGGAAGCTTCTACCACTTTCAGACTTGAAGTCCACAGCAAGTTGGAGGGGTCATTAGTACCCCAATGTCACCACACAGCCTAGGGCCCCTGCGCAGACCTGCTGAAACCCTCCTTTCACTTAAACATTTTACATCATGAACCAAGGGCAATATGTCAGGAGGAAAAAAAAGTAACTACTTACAGGGAACATTTTGAAAAGCTGTAACTTGTACGCAGTCCATCCTTTCTTGGACTTGTAAATTGGGAGGGGAAATTTAACATTTCTGGCATATTGAGAAAACAGCAATACAAGGAAAATTGTCCTGAGGAGAGAGAGAAAATAAACTAGTTTCAAAGCTGTTTGTATTTTAAAATATTACTCAAACCTTCAATGGCAAAGTGATCACATATGTTCAACTCACTTCTCTAGAAAGTGGCTAGTCCTCTTAACTATTACTTGGGAAATCATATATTTTGTAAAGGCCATTTTTGAAAAGATATCAGAACTCTTTCTCTTAGCATTTCTTGATGTAGAAATGAAAGTCACCATGTAAATGCTTTGGCTAAATTTCCCAAAATAGAACAAGAAAACCCAAAGAATGTACACACTGATGGAAGAAACTCATGCTATGTCAGAGAAAAAGACAGGCTGACAGATACAATACAGAGTGGAGTGTAATTATAACTACAAATTAACTAAAAAACAAGCAACTGTCGCACAAGTGTCCGTGTACACACGCACACACATACGTGCAGACAGTGAAGATGGGACCCAGAATGCTCAGAGGAATTGGCTTCAGGTGGCAATATAATATGCAAATTTGTTCCTACTTTTCTGTATTTTCTGGTTTACTTATAAGGAAAAAAATTACTTTTAAAAAGCAAAAAAGCTTCAATATTTAAGAAACTTATATACAGTAGATTGCAATATTAATATTAATACTTGTGAGATGTTTGTGTATGTCAGACATTATGCGAAGGTCTTCCCACCCATCATCTCAACCTTCTGCAGTAGCTTCTATAATCATCCACTTTTGATAGACAAAGTCCAAGATCATGTCGCTCAAGTTTGCAGGGTGGGTGGGCCAGGACTCTACAGCCTGGACTCTGAACCGCTTTGCAACACGGGCCATAAGGGCTGGGATGCCTGGGCAGGCGCAGGGGCCCCTGTACCCTGACCCACACTCCTGACCCAGCTGCACTGAGGGCTACAGGAGGCAGTGATGTCGGGTGCCCTCCCTGCAGCAGGTCCCGACACATCCTCAGTCCAGTGCCCGAGTGTGGCAGGTGTGGGATGGCTTCCCATCGCTGAAACAATAGAGGTGCACAGTGATGTATTTCATCATCCAGCGGGACGCGCTCTTTCACTTATAACCTGAGATAGAGTTGGCAGGAAGAGTGGGAACAAAGCTAAGCTTAATTGTTCCTGGACACGGTTCCCATGGCTGAGATGGAATTATCCGCTCCATTGACAGCGGTCAGTCAAGTGCAGTTCCACTGTAACACTCCTAATGAGGTGGGGGCTGCAGCCGGCTGGAGCACAGGCCTGTGCTCTGCTGTCTCCCTGCCTACCCCGGGCCTCGCTATCCCAGTGACGGGGGTGGGTCTCTGCCCTACCACAAGGTCACCAGGCCAGTACCAGTTCAAGGTTGAAAACATGCATAGTACCCACGTGATTCCAATTTCTCTGGGGTGGTGAAGTTGAACAACAAAAATGGTATAGCAATGACACTAAAACTGATTTATTTTAAATTTAGACCAACATGAAATTTTCATGTTTTAAAAAATGCTATTGATTTATTTCCAAGTGAACATTTAGAGCCAAAAAGGCCCCATGTCTGCTATTACTGTTACCACTAAAGGCCCGGTGCACGCATTCATGCTCGGGTGGGGTCCCTCAGCCTGGCCAGCAATTGGGGCCGTCTTGTCCAGTCACCCCTCCCCACGGGAGGTTGGCTGGCTGAGGGGGAGGGACCACAGGAGGTTGGCCAGCCGTGGGTGGGAGGTTGGCTGTGGGAGCGCACTGACCACCAGGGGGCAGCTCCTGCGTTGAGCCTCTGCCCCCTGGTGGTCAGTGCGCGTCATAGCTACCAGCCAGTCGTCCGGTCATAACGGTTATTTAGGCTTTTACATATATAGATTATTGTAGGTGACACCCATGTGACAATTACACCTGCACTATGGTGGTCATTTTTCAAAGCACATTTAAAAAAGAATGCTCGGCCTGGCCAGCATGCATCAGTGGTTGAGTGTCAACCTATGAACCAGGAGTTCACAGTTCAATTCCGGGTCAGGGCACATGGCTGGGTTGAGGGTTCGATCCCCAGTAGGGGGCGTGCAGGAGGCAGCTGATCAATGTTTCTCTCTCATCATTGATGTTCCTATCTCTCTCTCCTTTCCTCTCAGAAATCAATAACAACATATTTTAAATTAATTAAAAAGGGTGAGGGCCTTAGCCGATTTTGCTCAATGGTTAGAGCGTCAGCCCACTGACTGAAGGGTTGTGAGTTAGATTCTGGATCACAGTTGGGGCGTGTGCAGAAGGCAACCAATCGTGGAAGGCAACCAATCGATGTTTCTCTCTCTCTCTCTCTCTTCGTCCCTTCCACTCTCTCTAAAAAGCAATGGAATTGGGTGAAGATTACCAAAAAATTAATTAATTAATTAATTGAAAAAGATGAGGGACACACCGAGAATTCAGGGAAGGACACCCTGATCTTGGGCCCAAATCTTGCAACGCAAATTAAGGGAGTAGACTGGCAGATGAGTGCTCATTTTCTTTCCACTCTAAAGCTAGTCTGCTTCTAATTTATGTTCATCCGCAAATATACCTGTGGGGCAGGTAAGCCAGGCAGTCCCACAGCAGAGGCACGAGGTGGGGGGTGTGCCCATGCTCACACACCTTGGCTGAACAGAAAAGAGACAAGGATCTGAGCCCCACATCCTCAGGCCAGGGTTCTGCCACCACAGCCAGCTAGTCCTACTTCACATTTATATACGGCTTGCTTGTTGACCTTTCTTTTACCTTACAAATATTATTCAAGAAACATACACTAAAATGTAGGGAAATTATAAAAGGCAGATAAGCAAAAAAAAAAGAAAGACAAAATCCTTAAGATCACCCATCATCCCACCACTGGTGACAACTATGCAGCATTCTGGTCTATTAATAGTGAACGGCTTCCATTCCTGGGATGCGTATGGGTCATCCTGGGGTTAGAAAGGGAGACAGGACAGCCTGCAGTGATCCCTGCCCTCGGAGCACAAACAGGTCATCCTCTGACCCAAAGTGGATTCATACTTTACATGCTGCTGCCCAGCCAGCTTATAGCCCTATTAATGCCAGGACCTTGAAAGATAGAGATCTGCACCAGCACCTTTGTGCTGCTCAGCATTCCATCTTACAGACGCAGCACGTCTTGTCTAACAATTCCCATAGGTGCGACCCGGGGAGCAACAGAAACTGTGACGGATGGCCCATCCCTGGCGCCTGCCTGAGTATCTACTGATGACAAGTTCCCAGGCTAGAACGGATCTGTCAAACAGTAAATAACTTACGTAAAATCTCCTGATGCACACCGCCAAACATGAACAGAAAGGTTGGGTGAACTTACAGTACCACCCAGGGACCAAGAACACTCATCTGTTGCTCTCTGTACCACAGGGCCTTCTATTTTAAAGTCTCTACCAATTTCATCAATTAAAAAAAACTTACCATCATGTACTTTAACATTCATTCTTTACACATGAATTACTTAGTTCAGCATAGTTTGCAACAGCAAATATTTTAATCAACATTCATGAGTATCAACTGGGGAATGGTTAAAGAGATTACAGACTATTTCTTTCTATTTAACATTGTGCAGTTTTACAAAGAATGAAATAGATCTAAACACATTGTCTTGGGAAGGTGAGCCCAACAAAAAATGTTGGGGTGAAAATCAAATTATAAAATAATATAATGGTAAACCTGTATGTGTATATATGCTTATATTTATGCATAAGCAACAAAAATATGAAAGGATAAATGTTAACTTTTTACTAGTTAATCATGAGCAGATTTTTTTGAGGATGGGAATTACTTTACCTTAGATTTCCCTGTTTATTTACTGTTAAATTTCAAATGGCTAGAATTTAATATTTGGGGGGTACAGATAAAATGAGACTTCTCATGAGTGTTTGGTGATGGTACAGGAGGGCTTGTTACACTATTCTCTCTACTTTTGAAAAGGTTTGAAATTATCCCTAAATAAAAAAAGTTTTCTCAAGAAAAGAACAGTTCCCATTAAGGCCCTATGCAAGGTGTTAGAAATGTCACCACATTTACCTGCCCCTAAGAAGTGTCTCTAAATGCCATTTCTATTGGAGTGACTAAGGGATCCATGCTGTACAACCTGATCCCCACCCTGCCACACACACATACACACACACACACACAGCTAACGGAATCCTTGTGAATATGCGCTTTGATAACTGGGTAGGAAGGGTAACCCTTTTAAAACACTAATTAGCTATTTGTATCTCCTCTTATTGCTAAACTAGAGGCCCGTTGCAGAAAGATTCCTGCAAGAATAGGGCTTCCTGCGGCCCAAGCGAAGCAGAGAAGGGAGCGAAACCCGCCAAGGCGGGCTTCCCTCCTGCCTCGGCCGCCCCGCTTGCTTCCCTCTCGCCTCCGCCGCCCTGCTTGCTTCTCCGCAGCTTCACTCCCTTCTGCAGCGCTTGGCTTCCTTCCACATTGTCTTAAGTCTTCACTCTGCACCTATGTATGCAAATTAACCACCATCTTTGTTGGGTTAATTTGCATACTCATCTGATTTGGCTGGTGGGTGTAGGAGTGACACTAATTTGCATGTTTCTTTTATTAGTGTAGACTAGAGGCCCAATACATGAAATTCATGCGAGAGAGTAGGCCTTCCTTCCCCCGGCTGCTGGTACTGGCTTCCCTCTGGCACCCGGGACCCAGGCTTCCCTCAGGCCCAGCTTCGTCAGGAAGAACATCTGGTCTAATTAGCATATTACGCTTTTATTATTATAGATTTTCTTGTCTTAGGCATTGGTTAGCACATTCAGGACAACTTTAAATGACATGGTAGTAATAAGCATGCTTACCTTGGTTTCTGATTACAATAGGGAGGCCTGTTTAAGTCTTTTGTCATTAAAGAATGAGGCATTTTAATTAAAATCTTACTCATGAAAGACTATTCTATTCCCACACTGCAAACAGTTTGCAGTAGAGATATACAACTGAATTTTATTGTTTTTTGTAACTGCAGTTTTTATTAATAAAATCCACATGGACCCATAATGGTTTTATTAATAAATCTACACTAATAAAAGAGAAACATGCAAATTGGTGTCACTCTGCTACACCCACCAGCCAATCAGGATGAGTATGCAAATTAACCCAACAAAGATGGTGATTAATTTGCATATGCAGGCATGGAGCGAAGACTGAAAGCTCCGCCCGAGTGAAGACTGAAGACAACTGAAGACTAAAGAGGCTTGGCTTCTCTGCTGCAGCTGGAGCAAAGGCCTGGATCCCAGGTGCCGGAAGCCAGGGGAAGGAAGGCCTATTGCACGAATCTCTTCATGCAATGTGTCTCTAGTTTTCTAATAATCATCCTTCCTTGAGGTCCTGAAATAACACAAAATTCATTGTCCTTTTATTGTATTATCTATAGCAGCCTTTTCCCAAACCATGTTGTAAGCGACATTCTTCCCAGATGTTTACAGATGTGGCTCTAAAAAAATAAATTAGATGTATGCAGAGCTGGATCCAAAGGCCCTTTCTGGGAGAATCTTCTGCACACTTGTGTTTTAAAAGATTTCAACAGCTGTCAGAGGGGAGGTGGGGGGAAGGACTGGATGAAAGAAGGTAAAGGGATGAGCCAAAGAACATATATACATATATACATAACCCATAGACACAGAAACAGTGTGAGGATGGCTGGGGGTGGGGGATGAGGGAGAGTGGGCAAAGGGGGGAAATGGGGTTACCTGTAATAGTATCAACAATAAAAATAAATTTAAAAATAATATTTTTAAGAAGCTTTACAGTAGAGAAAGATGCCTGAACATATCTGCCCTCAGCTCTGAGTGCTCCACACCCTAGGAAGGAAGAAGTTGGTCAGACTCTCTTTTTCTTTTTTTTTATATATTTTATTGATTTTTTACAGAGAGGAAGGGAGAGGGATAGAGAGCCAGAAACATCAATGAGAGAGAAACATCGATCAGCTGCCTCCTGCACGCCCCCCACTGAGGATGTGCCCGCAACCAAGGTACATGCCCTTGACCGGAATTGAACCCGGGACCCTTGAGTCCGCAGGCCGACGCTCTATCCACTGAGCCAAATCGGTTCTGGCAGACTCTCTTTTTCATTAGCTCTGTCGGTATTTGCCATTAAGATAAAACTGACTGAGTCGTTTCCCTTCTTTTCTAAAGCTCCAGAAAAGTTTAAATAGTGCAGGAATTCTCTCTTCCTTGGAGATGTAATACACTCACTGTCTCACCATTGGAGACCAGCGCTTTTTTAGGGATAAAAGTCCTCTGACATTAGTCTCGACTTTTCCCAGGGTCATGGGTGAAGTCTGACCCCCACTCCAGTCCTCCCCTCACTTACTTACAGTGTGCTTATTAACTGCCTCCTCTGTGACAGATGGCACGCCAGGTGCTTCAGGGTGCCCTGGTGATCAACACAGAGTGGAGGCCTTGCCCTCACACAATGAACACCCCAGGTGAAAAGATGGCCTCATGGCAATTAAAAAACCTGAGAGCCTGGCCAGCGTGGCTCAGTGGTTGAGCATCGACCTATGAATCAGGAGGTCAGGGCACATGCAAGGGCTGCGGGCTCGATCCCCAGTGTGGGGTGTGCAGGAAGCAGCCGATCAATGATTCTCTCTCATCATTGATGTTTCTCTCTCTCCCTTCCTCTCTGAAATCAATAATAAAAACAAACAAACAAACAAACAAAAAAACAGAAACATGAGAGCAAAAATAAAAAGCTCGACAGAAGGATTTAAGATAAAGCTGAGGAAAATTCCTATGAATACAGAAAGAAGATGAGGAGATGAAAAACAGGAGAGGGAAGCAGAGGAAGAGTTCGGGGTCCAACAGTCTAGAAGTACCAGAAAGAGATGAGCAGGAATGGAAGGAGGGAGGCATCGTGAAATAAGTCAAGATCATTTCCCACCTGTGCACACTTGAGAGTCCAGTGCTACAAAGTCCTGAGTGCCCAGCGAGGTTTCAGACAACATGACAAGCCTAGCAGCTTCCACAAGTCTAGCATGTGTCTTATTGAAGCTTTCAGAGGAGGATGCAGAAGAGGCGGCTTTGAACAGATAATGGCCAAGCACTTTACAGCACTGAGAACCATCAGGAAGGGAGAAGAGAAGTCGGAGACCACACTGACTACTCGGCCAAGTGTGATCAGTGCGGTACCATTGTCATTTTCTCAATTATCAGCAATTCTGAAGTTTCCATAAATAAGTTATATATAACTCTAATTACAAATTATTGATAACTGTTTTGTTTTTTGGTGTGTGTTTTTTAAGATTCTAAGCCATTTGGGGGTTTTGTTCACCATTTTGTTATTGATTTCTAAATTAACTATATGATGGTAAATACAATTTCTCCTTTTTGCAACTTACTGCATTTCACTGAATGAGCATTCTTACATGCCTTCTACACCAAACCTGGTGTGTGTATTACTCAACCTTCAATAAAATGAGAAAATTCAGAACAATCCTGGGTATTTTCACATACCTTCATTTGTAATGATATGTGGGTGATGATTATGCCAGGATCCACTTTATTGGTATAGCATGTTCTAACACAGAGAGGCAAGATTAAATGTTATGGGTTTTGAAAACCAGGCCAGCCGCTTACTAGCTGTGTGACCCTGGGCAGCTAATCAGTGGTTCTCAACCTTCCTAATGCCGTGACCCTTTAATACAGTTCCTCATGTTGTGGTGACCCCCAACCATAAAATTATTTTCGTTGCTACTTCATAAATATAATTTTGCTACTGTTATGAATCGTAATGTAAATATCTGATATGCAGGATGTATTTTCATTGTTCACGACCCACAGGTTGAGAACCGCTGCTTTAGATCCTTATGCCTCGGCTTCCTTAGTGGGGACAACACTGATACCTACCTTAATTTATAATACGTGCAAGTGTTATGTATAGCAGTGACGCATAAGCTCAGTAAGTGCTGCCTGTTATGGAATAATTACAGAATATTTCACAAAGCAATACAAAAACAATTGGAAATCCTCTTGTGTTATTAATTTGTTTCAGAAATCTTACTGATTGGTAAAATTCCAGTCTTGGAACTATTTCGCTATTATATGATCAAGTCATCTACAGACACACAAGAGAAAGTGAGTTCTATTTGTGGTATACAGAATTCCGTGGCTCTAATTAATAATCAACCTTACACTATTATCGAAGTCCTGGACATCTTTACTGACATTACTTAAAGGGGTAAGTGACATGTTTAATGGGCTTGAAGCTCTGTGCAGAAGGACCGGCGATGACTAGCAGGACTCTGGCCTCCACACGTGTGCAGAGCTCCGCTTGGCCTGGGAGCCATGTCTCCTCCGATACCAACAGACCCTCCTGCTGCATCTGTCTCCTGCTAGTCGGGACATATTTTTGAGTCTCCTCTAAAGGATTCTAGGTATTTTTCTTTTTTTAAAATATATTTTATTGATTTCAGAGAGGAAGGGGGAGAGATAGAGAGATAGAAATATCAATAATGAGAGAGAATTCATTGATTGGCTGCCTCCTGCACTCCCCCAACTGGGGATCGAGCCCGCAACCTGGGCATGTGCCCTTGACCGGAATCGAACCTGGGACCCTTCAGACCTCAGTCCGATGCTCTATCTACTGAGCCAAACCAGCTAAGGTTGATTTCAGAGAGGAAGGGGGAGAGATAGAGAGATAGAAATATCAATAATGAGAGAGAATTCATTGATTGGCTGCCTCCTGCACTCCCCCAACTGGGGATCGAGCCCGCAACCTGGGCATGTGCCCTTGACCGGAATCGAACCTGGGACCCTTCAGTCCTCAGTCCGATGCTCTATCTACTGAGCTAAACCAGCTAAGGCGGATTCTAGGTATTTCAATTCATGCAGACTTGGTATGACTTCAAAAGTCAAGAGCTAATGGCACCACGCGAAGTTTGAAACCTTAACTCCTTTCCCCTACACATCACTGCCAAGCCTTTGACATACCTTGACGGCAAGTCACTTCCCAACTCAGACTCTAAAACACCATCAATTCCCTGGCACGAAGTCAATCAAGTTCAAACTGTCAGACTATTCTGACTTAAAACAAAACCTATCTCCTAAAGTCAGAATGTTCCAAGAGGCTGCCCCTTGGGGGAGCTAAGAGGGGAGAGTTTTACCGTCCACAACTGAGTGGTGTCAGAACACTTACAGCATGGCGATGCCCCAGTGCTTCCCCGCTCTCTCTCCCGCCGCCTGGAAACCAGAGAGGCCAATGAGGGCCACTGTGGGCGTAATGGTCAGGGGCCCGATGTACTTCAGCAGAGCGCCGGGCAGGCCTAAGAAGCCGATGACCACTTCTATCAGTGAGGACATGATGATGGCTCCTTGGATCTGGAATAAGAGCGGGCACAGGCATGAGTAAGCTGCTTATACGTCACTACTCAATGTCACCCACATCCAAAACTGACAAATTTGTGAAGCATCAAGTCATTATACAACTGGCATGACACGGCTGGAAATTTCCCGGTGTGATGTATGACCGGACTAATGTAAGAATAGCATTATAGGACTGGGCACTGGATGCAACTTGCCTTTTCCGCTGATAAATGAGACAGGCGTAATTAATAATTCCTAAGGGACACTGCAATATAAAGCTCCTTGACTTTAAAAAGTGAGTCCCTACAGGACACTTAAAAGACAGCACAATTGACAAAAATGCTAAAGGAATGTTTCTATTGTACAGAATAGTTGGGCTGATTCTGAATGAAGGGTGAATGATCTTACAGGTTTTAAAAGATCTGAATAAACTGTCAGCCATTCTCATGTCTAAGGATTCCCACAACCTGTTCTGTTCAAGTGCACTGAATAGACAATTATCTTAATTCTTTCCACAAATACAGGCACAAACACGGAGGCTGGAGTGAATACTTCTGCTGCCTGCTGACAAGCCTCTGTAGCTCCTTCCAAAGGAGCCACGCCCCTCGGCTGGTTCCGCTGGGGGTGCCAGTGGGCAGGCCTGCGGGTGCACCAGAAAGAGGAGGGAAATGAAGGGTGAGAAACAAGACTGTCTGGCTGCACAAAGCATTTCTGCATGCTTCATGTTACAGGGATGCCATCTAAACTGAACGACGTCTTTAATGACAGAGATAAACATGTCAGTAGCTGAGAAGAAAGGGACGGCTTAGTCAAGCAACTGCAATTTCTTGGGCACAATCAACAGTGAAGCTGAGGAGAAACACAAAGCAGCCACAGGCAGGCATGCTCGGCCGTTACCTCGCGTATGCGGGGGTACCAGATGTGCTCCGTGTGCAGCAGTTCCGTGGTTCCGTTGACAAACGAAACATCTTGAAAACAAAAACAAAGACAAAATTTTTCTTGAAACAACACTGACATTTCACAAGACACATTCATTTCACTCTTAAGAAGAATCTCCTCCCTGTTTTAAGTATGTGTGTAAATACCCATCCCTGAAATTCAACAGTGTGGCTTACCATACTGAAGGGCGGGTTCCCCAGCGCTAACTTAACCAAATGTATTCATGGGCTGAAGCTCCCAGCTTGTCAGAAGCTGACTGAGCTGGTGATGCACATGGCTCGTGCCAGCCTCACACAAAGACCAACCCTTGCAAGCAGTTAACTTGCAAACCATTAGCAAGGCTGCCTAAGGTTTAAAAACCTCGATAAAACGGAGGGCCTTCTCCAGTTTCCAAATCAACTCAGTGGTCACCAAGTAACTCCAAGGAGCATGGAAGGAAATGAAAGCTGGAAAACTTTGCTCCTAGAACCTAAAAACGGAACAGTCTTTTGAGAGTACCACAGGTCTGGTTTTCTCAAGTCCCCTATCTTATCTTTTCCTGATCTTATCACTAAAGGGGAGAGGGAGGTGAAAGTCATTTGCAGAAAACCAAAGCAGCCAGATCCGTAAAAAGCAGAGATGTTTCAGAGAAGGGATGCTGATGCAGCAAAGAGAGTGATTACTGGTGGTTCATAAAATCCACTGAAAGAAAGAGGCAGAAAAATAGCACAAATATTTTTCTCTTCATTCCCATACATATCCATCTCATTAGCATAGAGAAATTCGGTCCCTTCTGGTCCTCACTTACTCTGGGGTTAGGGATGAACGAGTGGACAGAGAGAGACAGAAACATGATCCACAGATGGGAGCGTTCTAAGCTGTTTGCTGGTCTGTGTGTTCTGTGCCTGATTCCAGACAGGATTTCAGGCTGCCAAGGGCAGCATGTCCAGGCCTCCCTTTATCACCTGAGTTAAAGGACCCCAAGGACATATGTGGAAATAACTGCAATTACCTGTGGTGTTACATTTCCATTTATCTAAAGACAGGATGGCTCGAGCAGGGGCCAGAAATGCAAAAGCACTGGCCTGAAACAGGGGTAACCTAAAAGAAACGAGACCAAAACCATGATCACGGCATCAGGAACTACCGAGGTAGTTCACTATTTGATAGCTTAACAGTCTTTTCCATAGACAAACAGCACATGAGTAAATGCAGGCACACCTGGAAGAAAGAACCCCGGTCTGCAAAGATCGCCTCGGCCAGGCAGCCAGGGCCACTGGCTTCTCCATCCTCCCCTCTGCTGCTCTTCCCCCAGACAGCCTCGGGGCAGGCCCTGGGGAGCCCTGGAGTCAGCACCAGCACCCCAAGATGAGCCCTGCCATCGCCACCTTTCCCCTTGGGGGTGGGGTGTTTTGCATTTGGGAGTCTCTTTCCTGCTGAGCTTGTGAGCTCCTCATTAAACATCAGTGTATGTCTTCTATTTCACCACCCTTCTCCTCCCTTTCAAATTATCGAATAGCATAGAAAAACATTTATCTTCCTGTTGTTCCATATTATAGTCAAAGACTGCCCTAAATCAGAGGTAAGCATCAAAATCATGTTAGGGTTCTACATCTATTGAGGAAAAGAAAAGCTGTAAGTTACAAACCAACAGTAGATATAATATTCTGCTTAATCATGAAAAGACTCAAATATTCTAAACCTTATTTTTAAAGGACCCAGAAAACGTGCAGACTCTGTAAAATCTCCTGCCCTCATCCTCCAACTAAATGCAGATACTCAGATTCCATCATTCAATTGTATTTTAGATACGTCACATTAACTTTATGAACACTTGAGCTACTCAAATTCAAAAGATGTTGCTACAGCTGTATTGCTAAGGTGGCTTTATGGGCTAACATGAGACCTTGACCGCTACTGTTAACATACTTCAGGGTAAAATGAAAAACTGGCTCCTGTTTGCAGGGCTGGGAACTCCCAGGTGTCCAGATCCTTCTTAAATACCACGAAGCAGCCTTGTGTGAGTGCCCTGGCCAGGGGGGCGGGAACCCAGCATCCCGCCCTGGGCTGACAGCAGGTCCCGCCCTGACTGAAACAGGAACTGGACTGGGAGTCAGAGTGGCTCTGGCTGGAGGACAAGCATCTGCTTTACAAGTGCAGTTAGCACACACCATTCTGAGCCTGAGGAGGGTCAAGATTCTCGTTCTCTGGCCATTTTAATCATGCAAAGGAATCAACTAAGAGCAGGCAGGCTGAGAGCAGGCAGGGGCCAGAAATTCAAGACACAGAGGCAGGCTGCACGGTACAGCCCAGATGCACTGCTGGCAGCCAGTCGCATGGGCATGCCCTCCACCAACCATCCCAGAGCACAGTACCGTCAAAAGTGGAAGTGGCCCTCGAAGGTGTGGCTCAGTTGGTTGGGTGCCGTCCCGTGCACCGAAAGATGGAGGGTTCGATTCCCAGTCAGGGCACATGTCTGGGTTGTGGGCTCGATCCCCAGTGAGGGTCATGCAGGAGGCAGCTGATCAATGTTTTGCTCTCACAATGATCTCTCTCTCTCAAAAATCAATAAAAAGTCGTAAAAAAAAAAATGGAAGTGAAGTCACCTCACGTGGGAATGTAGTATATCAAAAGAGAGAAAAAAATGCTTGACTTAGACAAATTCCTTAAGCACAATTTTTCAGAAATGTACAGAAAAGGTAAAGGGAGGTCAGCATCGAGTTAGAAATGGATGCCATCTCAAATGGTCTAAGCGGCACCTGTTTTGCTGTCGTTTCTGATTTCAAGCGATGCATCTTAGGACCAGGTACCATGGGTTGCACTTAGAGAGCTTGTCCTTGGGAACCACTGCAATCAGCACTGGCTCTGGGTTCTCCTTCTGGGGCATGACCTATACTCGACCTCAGTCTGCACTTGGCCGAGGCACCTTTCTGGGCAAGCATTTTACGGCATCACCCCGACCAGAAGCCCTAAGAGCACTGCAGCAAACAAACCAGCTCACTCACTTGCAAACAACCAGGACCCTGGGTTCCTCCGAAAGTGGGTGGTAATTCCCGAAGTGCTGCCCCAGACACAGTTTCCCGAGGATGGGAAAGGCTGCACGTGGCGGCTGATGGCCCACGTTTGGCCACATGCACTGTCTGCCACAGCAGTGCCGTCTGAAAGACACGCGGCCGCGTTGCAGGAGGCAGCAGTCAGCACCCCAGCAGGGACGTGTGGTCTCCGTAACATAACTCAGCGACAGAATAACTCAGCGGCTTGGCTGAATTACTCGCAGGGAAGTTGCTACAGGGGCATCTGGCTGCACTGAACGAGAGGCACTTCCCCAGTTAATGGTCAACCCTAGGCTCTCCTCTCTGCACCTCACTCACACCAGCATCTGACCCTCCCCAGGTAGCCAAGACTGCCTGCCATTTTATTTTGTACTGACGACTGGGAAGGAAACCAATTAATCCCTGCCCTACTTCACACCAGGGGTTGGCAAACGGGCCCATGAGCCAAATCTGGCAAATTACCTGTTTTTATGAGTCAAGTTTTACGGGACACAGCCACCCTCATCTATTTCCGAGGTGTTGACAGCTGCTTTCGAGCTTCGATGGGAGAGTCGGGCAGTCACAACAGAGACGATAAGAGCCTGAAATATTTACTGCTTGTCCCTTGACAGAAAAAGCTGGCTGACTTTGTTTACAGGAAAATATATTTTAAATATGTGAAAAGGTGGTGGATTTTTTCAGACTTAAGTTTTTAAAGTTGATAGTGTCACTAGATGTAAGAAAAATTCTGAGCAGATAGGCACCTTTGTCATGATACATCCCCACGGCGGGCTTTACCCCAGGACAGCAAAAGAACCTACCCAGCCCGACAGCAACCAGCATGGCTCCTATGAATCGGGAGGTCACAGTTCAATTCCCGGTCAGGGCACATGGCCAGTTTGCAGGCTCGATCCCAGTGTGGGGCATGAAAGAGGCAGCCAATCAATGATTCTCTCTCGTCATTGATCACTGATGTTTCTATCTCCCTCTCCCTCACTCTCCCTCTCTCTCCTTTCCTCTCTGAATAAATTTAAATTAAAAAAAGAAAAGAAACCCTGTTGGAGGTATCCCCCTTGGTACCCAGGTGACCTCAAAACATCCTCTGGCCTCACATCTCACCAGCCCCTTCAAACACCTGCACTCCTAGCAAATTGGTCCAGGTTCTTGCCTCTGAGCCTTTGCTCATCCCTTCTCTTTGTCATCATTTCTAATATTCAATTTTTATTCATCATTCAAGGCACAGGCAAATACCATCTCCTCTAGGAAATATTCCAAGATTTCCTTCTTGGGATTTGTGATGTGTTCTTAGTCAGAACTCTCCAGCCATGATTTCTATAAGTCACCCACCCCCAGGTCAGAAAGCTGGTTTCTGATTCCCCAGGGGTCACTGGTTAAAAATGGATATTTTGGGCCCTAGCTGACATGGCTCAGTGGTTAGAGCATTGGCCCTCAGACCAAGGGGTCACAGGTTCGATTCCTGGTCAAGAGCATATGCCTCAATTGCATGTTCCCTAGCTCAGGTCAGGGCACATGTGGGAGGCAACCAGTCGATGTGTCTCTCATCTCACATCATTATTTCTTTCTCTCTCTCTCTCTCTCCTCCCCCCTCTTCTACTCTCTCTAAAAATCAATGAAAAAATATCCTCGGGTGAGGGTTTAAAAAAGAAAAAGAGTATATTTCTGATCTTACCATTTGCAATAACACAGATGTACCTAGAGGGTATTATGCTAAGTGAAATAAGTCAAAGACAAATACCTTTATGATTTCACTTAAATGTGGAATCTAAAAAACAAAATAAAACAGAAACAAGCTCATAGAGAACAACTGATGGTTGACAGATGGAAGGGAGATTGGGGGGCTGGGTGAAAAGGGTGAAGGGATTAAGAAGTACAGACTGGTAGTTACAAAATAGTCAAGGGGATGGCAAGTACAGCATAGGGAATAGAGCCAGTGATACTGTAATAACTATGTATGGTGCCAGGTGGGTATTACACTTATTGAGGGGATCACTCATAAGTTACATGTCTAATAACTATGCCATACACCCAAAACTAATATAATATTGACTGTCAACTGTAATTTAAAATTTTTTAAATTTTAAAATGGAAATTTCTGAATTCCACTTAGTCCTGGTTAACAGGAGTCACATGTGGGATCCTCACATCGGGATTTTGAACAGTGACTTCTGGGGGTGGCTGAGGCACAAAAAAAACAGACAACCCCTATGTCAAATGAAAGGATTTATTCTGGTCACTTGATAACCATTTCTTGGGTGTCTGCTTAACACATTATAAGCAGGTGTGATGATAGAAAAAAACTATCCTTAGGCCGTTGAGGAGTTTCTGTTGTGTGAAGGAGACACTAATTGTGGCCACACGTGAAGGGTGGTGACAAGGCGATGCATGGTGCTGTGGGAGTCTGCACAAGAATCACTTAGCATAAGGATGAGAAGCACGCCATCACATGTGCAAGGGGTTGAGTAGTCCAGGCAGAGAGAAGAGCAAGTGTAAATCAAGAGCTATAAACAGACCTGAATCCTGGAGAACTGCAGAGACCTTACTATGGGGAAAGCGGGGATTGGAGTGGTGACGGTCAGAGGGGGCCGGCGGGCAAATACCTGGCTTTCCTCTTGCAGGCCAGGGGAAAACTACTAGAGGGCTCTGCTCTGAAAAGTCCACTTTGGGAGAACTAGGAAAGCTAATCCTTAACCCCAAAGCTGTTCTCTGAAGGCATTCCGACAGGGTGTGGCCTGGCATCATTTGCGGTCTCACTCATCCTATGGTGTTGGCTCAGATGAGCTGCCAGCCCCCAGCCCAGGGTAGGTCTCTGCATGCAGCTGGGCCTCTGTCCGCTCCCCTCACAGCACTAAAGCGATCTGTTCAGACAAGCTCCCTACATGCTGATTTCACCCTGTGGGCTGAAGTCGCCCTAACAGCGGGAACTGGGACTGTTTCAGCCATCACTGTATCCCCAGCACCAAGTTTCGCTTAATAAATAATAAACTGAAGGTGCTATTTACAAATATTATTGTCTGAAAGGAATTTTATTAGAGTAAAAATAAGAGGCTG